CTGAAATCTCTTCACTGCCTGTTTTGCTAATGTTCGCGTCGATCCAATAGAATCACAAAACAAAAAAATACGAAGCCGAAAATGCCAAGACATTATTTCAATTCAAAATCCGGCGGCTGGTACTTTTGACAAACTGCCGGCTTCATATCCCCGTCGAGGCCACTAGAGAGATTGTGACCCTTAGGTAAATTAAGATAAATATTAGTCCTTTAGACTGGACAATTAATCAAGCTTATTTCCTTTAGGCTATAGCATGAAATATTGTGAACTTCAAATTTGGATTTACTTGTATTTTACATTTTAATCAACGCATTTCATCTTATTTAATTTTATACATAACCTCATTGAGGCAGTTATGAACCTTATTCACCCAGTTGTCAACTTCATACAACCATTTGAACCTAATGCATCCAGTTAACAACCTCATATGACCAGTTATAAACCAACATACATGCAGATGTCAACCTCACTCTACCAGGTATCAGCTGCATAACCAGTATATACCTCATACGTCCAGTTTAGTTATTAACCTTGATAAATTGGTGCATAAGGTATAAAATTTACCAACCTATTTACTAACCTCATACAACCAGCTATGAAACTCATGCACACATTTATCAACCTCATAAAACTAGTTATGAAACTTACTCATTTGTCAACCTCATACAACCAGCTATGAAACTTATATCCAGTTATCAACCTCATACAATCAGTTATGAAACAAAGGCATCTTGCATATGTTTGGTATTGAAACTCTTGAAGAAGTAACTCATATTTTATTGTTGATCTCTGTCACATTGCCCATCTTTGATACACACAATTGTGCTGGAAATAGGACCTTATATTTATTAAATCACATATACCGAAAAACAGTAAATTATGAATTGCAGTATTCTTAAATCTACACACCTAAGGTTGTCTGTTAATATCATGTAACTTAAAATGAATACCCTGTATAGAATTAATAATGGTTCACTTACTACAGAAAATTAAATATAATCATAATAATTTTTAATTAAATTGAATAAATATTTTCTTGCTCACCACTTTATATACTCATTAGATATGTCATTACCGACTAACAATTCATCCCGTGCAAACGCCAAGCTCATCAACCCGGCGGCCGTCCCCATACACGGCTGTTAATATTAGTCATCGTGTAATAAAAAATATTAAACAATTTAATATTATTATATATGATTCTCGAGCGTCTTGATAAGCATGTTAATGCTAAATTTGGAGGAATTTTATACTTTGGCAACTGCAAAAATCAGGAAAAGTCAAATTGACTAAATAAACTGTCTTTATTTTTGCCCGTTATGAGTTCAAGTGTATTCAGCACCTACAACTTTGGCGCTAAAGCTGTATATATTGGACAAATGCAGAGTTAAAAAAATCGATTCTAATTTTGCAATAATATTAACAAGTAGTTTTATAAAAATAACAAAACCATACATGATTTGTGAAATTACCGCTTATGATATATATTAACACTAGCTAGCATTTCTGTGTGGAACATCACACTATACCAATACTTCTTTTATTGCATTGTGAAGTAAATATAATAAAATATAAATAACAAATCAACTATCACTTAAGTGTTACTCAAGGGGATTCTAAAGATAGACCAGAGTCTTAACCTATAAGAAAAAGCAGCTATAGTAACATCATCTGGTGGCCACCTTGATTTTATTTTTAATTAATTTATTATAATATTATTTTCGAATTTCGAAGAATCGATGACGGAGTTCAGGAATATTAACCTAACTTCAGGCAACAATTTGTTTCAGTTGTAAAGAAACAAAAATTATTATTTACAAGATGTTTCTGAGAGTGACCCATAGTTTTTATTTTCCGTTTAACAGGTCGAATGCTAGTTTGATATCTGCTCCTGTGATCGAGTCTTCACATTTGCAATTCTCTCAAAAATTATTTCTGTTTTTATAAATTAAACAAAATCAATAATGTACTTGTATATTCGTAATAAATACAAAGTACTTAAACTGATAATTTGACGGCTGTGATGTTTTCCAGAGCCAAGAATTCATTTTCTTACATTTGAGTACATCACATATAATCTTTTATTTACGATTAATTGACAAATTGAAAGTAAAACATTTTAAGCAGATGGATGGAGTTTCACATAGGTGATATACAAGAGAAATCAACCCATCAAACTATCCTAGTCTAAGGTGCGACCATCTTCAAGGGCTCATACATATATTTTTCCATCCTATATAACTAGAAAGGTATTTTTCTCATATTTAAATTGATATTATAATACAATAGTTTGGTGTATAATTATATATACGGCAAATTAGGTTACGTGCTTTGATTCTTTTGTAAATTATCTGTATTTACAATAATTGTGTGAAATATTTAAAAGAAATGCACTTGGAACTAAAAAGTAAGTGAATCACTATCTAGAAAAGTTTTAACGTAATCAATTGCAAGAAGTTTTGTAAAGTGTTTTTCATTCTTAAATAATGGAGCTGCTGCTGGATTAAAACAAGTGGTCAATGTTTTGAAGATGGGCTAAGATAGATTCTGTGTCGATTCAAAACAGGGAATAAAAGCAGGTTAATAATCTTCGATCATTAAGCAATCAAGATCATTTAGGAAGTTTGATACAAAATAATAAAATATAATAGTTATCGTCTCGTAAAGTTATTACTAAATATACTGTACGGATCTATTTTTTTTATTAACAAAATCTAAAATAATGATCTTGATAACATCAAAGATTTGAACACTACTTATTAGAAAGTTCCTTCATGAACAGTGATAACTATTCGCCGCAGATGACAATATGTAACACAGGTGCAACTTTTAGAATGGTGTTGAGCTTAAAGCCTATCAACCGTGGGATAAGGTCACCACAAGAGCTTACTGACCAACCAGCAAGTGTTCTTTATTTCTGAACATAGTTCAGAACTATCAGTTTATATACACTGAGAGGATGGATACACCTCTCGGCATATATATATATATATATATATATATATATATATATATATATATATATATATATATATATATATATATATATATATATATGTCGACATATATATATATGTCGTACCCAGTAGCCAGAACGCACTTCTCGGCCTACTATGCAAGGCCCGATTTGACTTATAGGTCGAGTGATTTTCTTTATTTTCAATAAATTGTTTATAGTTAGTTTATTTGAATTATTATTACTATATTATATTAAGAACATAAATTACTGACTAAGTTGAGTTTGTTTAGGTTAGGTAGGGTTGGTTAGGTTCGGTCATATATCTACGTTAGTTAAAACTCAAATATAAATAAATTAACTCATACCAAATGAAATGGATAGCTTTATCATTTCATACGAAAAAAATATAAATTCAGGAAAACTTGGCTTATTAGGCAAATCGGACCTTGCATAATAGGCCGAGTTCTGCGTTCTGGCTACTAGGTACAATATATATATATATATATATATATATATATATATATATATATATATATATATATATATATATATATATATATATATATATATATATCCATGTGAGTAGTGTTGGACGCTGACAAGCGCCTTACAGTGCATTTGCAGTTTATTATTATACAATAAATGGAACATTACTGGTGGTATGTGTGTGTTGTGACGGTGTGTGTAGCAACAGCGTGCTGCCAGATAAGTTTTGCTTTCTTTACTTTGATCTACAAATATTGTGAGGTGAGACATGCTTAAGATGTGGTTCACAAAGTTTCATATGATTATCAATACAATAAATAATTGATGTACGTAACAATAACATATAAAGAAGTAGCATTACATATTATTTTGGCCTGTGAGATATGCATTTTCCAATGTTTTTATTGTTCATGCTTTTTCTAGAATACGGTGTGCATCAAAATATTTGGTTCAATCGTGACCATTTTGTGAAAATATATTGGAAACGTCTAATCAAAACATTATCAGACATCATTTCTAACGGGATTTTTTTTGTATATATATAGATAATTTAGCTAAAGCGAACATATAACAAAATGAGACTATTTGCTAAGAAACTTAAAATCGAAGTGGATTTTTCAGTGATGTTGAACAATTGTTACGTCATCCACCAACACTATTACGTCGCTGATGGCATACGAGGCGCCGGCACCACTTGTTTACTGTTATTTGGGGCGACAGTACCACTTGTTCTCTGGCGCTATTGGTATGTGAGGCGTTGAGACCACTTGTTTTCTGATGCAGGTGGTGTGTTGGGCGTCAATATCACTTGTTTATTGTCGTTGGTGGTGTGTGAGGCGTCAACACCACCTGTTTATTGGTGCTGGTGGTGTGTGAGGCGTCAGTACAACTGGGTATCTACAGCTGGTGGTGAGTGAGGCGCCAGTACCACTTGTTTGCTGTTGCTGGTGGAGGGTGAGGCACCAGCATAACTTGTTTATTTGCGTTGGTGGTGTGAGGGGTGAGTACAACTTGTTTGCCGCTGCTGGTGGTGTGTGAGTCCCCACCACCACTTTTTTATTATTTGCACTGATAGTGTATTATAATACGCCATGATGACTTGTTTACCATGGGCTGGTGCATACCGCCCATGGCAGACGACTATGGTTATAATTTTATGTCATACAAAATTATACCATATGCTCCTGTACCCTTTAAAATGTAAAAACTTCTGCTTATTACTGGGAGATTATTTATTATTTTGGTCTGTACTGATTTCTGATGAATTCCTCGGTGTTGTTATTCGATTGGAAGGATAAATAGTTCCACGCCTTTATATCCCTGAGGCAGGAGTGTCCACAGCCTCGCCTCCACAACACAACAGCTACCCACAAAAGACATTTTCATTTGTATAGTTTGTTGCTTTTACATACAATTTTAAAGGATTCTTTATTGATGGCCCCACTTTTTCATTGGCATATATATATATATATATATATATATATATATATATATATATATATATATATATATATATATATATATATATATATATATATATATATATATATATATATATAAAATGGTTAAAGTATACATACAATATAAATAAATATTCATATTAAGGTGTTACTCTGCCAAAGTTTAAGGTATTTTATATTACGTAACCAGTAATAAATACGAGTGTTACAGCGAGCAGCATTGCCTCAGGCGCTGTCCTCGGCGGCAGGAGAGCGCAGCCGGAGGTCAGGCCGCAAGTCCAGGTTGAGGCGGAGGTCGGGACGTCCTAGCAGGTCATGTCGGAGTGGGTACTCCGACAGGTGGTCCCTGGCGCGTGTGAGTTCGTTATCACGCAGATCAGCGGGGTCTGGGGAAGAGTCGTGGTGGTAGTGGCGGTGAAGTGGCAGAGGGGGTAGTACCGGTAGTAGTGGAGGCAGAAGGTGCGGGTAGGAGAGGGGTAGAAGCGGAGGGGCGAAGCGAGAGTCCCCATACAAGGGAACGCGGGGCAGGCCCCCACCAAAATATGAGCTTTGGTGAGCGGGTGGCGGCACTCCACTGCTGGTTAAGGGCGTAAAGGCGGACTTGGCGCTCCCAAGACTCGGTTTGGGCGGCGAGAGGGGACGGGGAGGGTGTTCTGAAGGGCGGGGCACGGTGATGCCGGCAGTTGGGCGGCGCAACGCTTCACCAACAGAGAGAAAGTGCTCGATGGCTCGCAAGAGATCCCCTCCGCATCCTGTTAACACCAGCTCTAGCACTCCGCGACGTTCACTAGGGAAGATCCTCATTAATATATCTATACCATCCAGGGTACCTGGATCCTCCTTCCGCGACTCCACCGGACTCTGGCACACCATGGTTGTATCCCTGCTTGGCTGCGCCTCGCCGGGACCTTCATTGGCACTCTGGCTCTCCGCGGTCGCAGGTCGAACCTCTCCTTGGGACACTGTCGGAGGGGGTGAGACCTGCTGAGACTCACTGCTGGACTGTGAAGATCCGCTGTGTGAGGTGATGAGAGGAGAGGTGTGTGTTGACATGTGGGGCGAGGTGTGGGCTGACATGTGAGGAGATGAGTGGGAAGACACATGTGGCGGAGTGTGAGCAGGATCATCGTCGATAGGTGTGACCCCGGAAGTGGAGGTAGGAGACATGGCAGGTGAAGTGACCACTGTGCCAGGGGATGCCACGCTCACCTCACTCCTCGATTCGTCTTCATGACCAATCTCACCATCTGCGGAGGAAATAGTGTCAAAAATGAACCGCAACCAGTGGAAACTTTAATATGTAAACACTGCTGATAAATATAAACAATTACCTATCGATTAAAAGGTTCCGAAAAATCAACATACATTATATGCTTTGAAAATTCACCTGTCACTAGAGATCATGAAGAAACACAGTAAAACCAACCCACACACACACACACACACACACACACACACACACACACACACACACACACACACACACACACACACACACACACACACACACACACACACATCATGGAACCCCCCACCTGAAGAAACACATTAGTAAACTGGAAAGGGTTCAGAAATTTGCAACGAGGCTCGTCCCAGAGTTGCGAGGGATGGGATATGAAGAACGACTGAAGGAACTGAACCTGACTACACTAGAAAAAAAAGAAGGGAGCGCGGAGATATGATAGCAACATATAAAATACTTAGGAGGATTGACCGAGTGGAAATAGACGAAATGTTCACACGGAATACCAAGAAAACAAAGGAACATGGGTGGAAGCTGGAAACTCGGATTAGTCATAGAAATGTTAGAAACTTTTCTTTTAGCGTGAGAGTAGTGGGAAAATGGTATGAACTAAAGGAGCACGTTGTGGAAACAAACACCATTCATAGGTTTAAAACTAGGTATGATAGGAAAGTAAGACTGGAGTCATGATTCTAAGCAACCGGCGGCTAGAAAGACGGGATCTAAGCTCTTATCCTGTAACTACACTTAGGTAATTATTCTCTCTCTCTCTCTTTACAACACTGATGACTTAACCAGCACATGCCTTCAAATATATTCCTTAACCTTAGATTGACTATAAGCAACCTGAAAACAATAAAACAGACTTTCAACCAAACTTCATAAACCCCAGATAATACTTAACAAGCATATATCGTAACACATGATCCCTCATGTGTTGCATTATATGGATAACGTCTCCGATCTCTCCCTATCTTCTCCATCACATGAATGACTCCTCTACGCTCCATTAATAAGCACCTACAGCCGAAACATTATTTGCAAATAGTCTACTCTCATCTTGGTGTATTTCTACATCAGATGTTACTACCATTCAGTGAGTGCACCTCCTGTTGATGTAGATTTGACTATATGTAAACTCCGTCAGCGAAACTATTAATATAAGAACATAAGAACGAAAGAAACTACAGAACGTCTACTGGTCGGCTGTTCGGTCAAGCGAATTGTATCGTCAGTTCGGCCATTTGGTTAAATGAGTTGTGTTTGACGGGCGTACCTTGTTAATGCTGTTCACTACCGGGTATTTATTATCCAGGTTTTTTATGTATTAAAACATCCAGTTTGTAAACAAAAAATCGTGTTCCATTAATTTGATGTATTTAACACCATTAATAAGGGACCTCCTAATTAATATTCAACACCTTCATAAGGGACGTTTATAATTCTTGGGATTGACTTTATCTTTCTTCTCTACATACGTTCAAGTGAATTATATCCATTTTATAGTACGGTGACCAAATCTAAACTGCGTAATTAAAATAGTTGTTTGGTTATAAGCTTTAGACTTTGGTTGCATTCATTCTAGAGTAAGTACGATAATAACAATAAGAAATTGGTTTTTGAATGACGTGGACAATGAGAAGAAAATTCACATATTTTAATGGATATTATATTACAGTATTTTTTAATTATCTTAGTATTTTTCCGATATCTAGATATTCGCTTGAGCGGTTATCTCATCTCACACGAATTAATATTGTATCGTATTTATTAAGTGGAATGATTTTTTCTTCATTAATGGAAAATAATAATAATAGTAATAATATTTATTATTATTATTATTATTATTATAAATTGATATAAATCTAGTTTAGTATACACTCCCTATATAGGATATATCTCCATATCACAACCACATGCACTTAACATTCTCTAAAATAAACAAGCCTTTTATAAGCGTTGGCGTGTGCTTTGTTCCATTCAGCAGTCTTGTGGATATGTGTAAACTCTTCTGTTTGTGCCCACAACTCTCGTCTTGACTTAACAATTCACACTGTATCATCTGCATATCCTAATATTCCAGCTTTTGTTGCCATCCGCTACTTTTACTTAACTACGGTTCGAGCACTGACAGATTTCTCTCACAAGCAAACTTATTATACCGAAAAGCCCTCTCACGCTGACAGTATTTCACCCGCTTGACATTCACATTAAAATAATAAAGAAGCGTGTTGACTGCGGAGCCTCGTGCAGGCCCTTGCCGGAGTCGTCAGCATGTCTCTGGATCCACCTGCTTTTACACAAGCTTTTGGTGGGCTCAATAAATCCTTCAGCTAGACGTGGGTCATTGACCCAGTCAACGTGTTTAATGTTTAATGGTGTTGACCAGACCACACGCTAGAAAATGAAGGGACAACGACGTTTCGGTCCGTCCTGGGCCATTCCCAATCGACTTGAGAATTGTCCAGGACGGACCGAAACGTCGTCGTCCCTTCATTTTCTAATGTGTGGTCTGATCAACATATTTCAGCCACGTTATTGTGACTCATCATCTGCAATGTTTAATGGTCCTCCCCGCAGCCCTCTTTTATATACGAAGTAATGTACGTCACACGCAACAAGTTTTCCGCATGTTATGTGACTAATGCTCAGAAGAGAATTAGATATTAATTTTAAAACTTGATTACAATATATAATTCACTTATTTCCACTCCTCCTCATTAGAGGAGAATTTATCTTTGCTGACATAACAAATTCTTTACACAATAATATTTCGTATTTATTTCTTCATACTTTACTTTTCTTGAAGTCGTATCAAGTATAAAACAACCCATCAGCCTGTTCAGATAGTACTTTTTATAACTATGTAGACCATAATACATACATAATGGTAATGGACAATTAGAATTTGGTACTGTTCACTTTATAGTCCGAAAAAATAAAGCTAAAAACTAAACTTAAATATTCCTAGGCCTAGTATAGCACATATATGTACTATATACATCAGTTAGCGGGTATTAGGCCTAGGAAGGTTAGGTTTGGTTTTCTTTGCAACTTCAGTACAAAAACGTTTCCGGTTTGTCCAAATTCAATAGTACCGATGTCTACTTTCTAAATGCCTTTTACGTCAATATATGTACGATGATCATCATAGTTACTATAAGTACTACCTAAACAGGAGGATGGGCTGGCATAAAAACAAGGTTGTGTCACATTATTGTCTGGCTTACTGCACCTTACATGATAAACACTCCTCTGCTGAGCTGATAAAATGAACGCCCTCATACATTCGTTATATTAGTTAACAAGAATTTGTTTGCCTGATTTAAATTTTATTGATTCATTTAAGGGAAAAAATGTATCATTGTAAGTCTTCAAGTATCAAGTTTAAATATTTAGGTAAATAAGCTTTAGAGTAATAGAATGTAGTTACAGGATGAGAGCTACGCTCGTGGTGTCTCGTCGTTCCTTTGTCATATGACGCTTTGAAGCTATTGACGGTTTTGGCCTCCACCAACTTCTCACTTAACTTGTTCCAACCATCTCTTTCTTTATCAGAATTCATTTAAAGATTTTCCACATAATGTGTAGGTTGTATGTGTGGTCTATTATTTTCTATTCCACATTTTAAAACGTGGCATTTATTCACATTAAATAATATTTGCACCATACACTTATTTTGTACATGTCTTCTTGGAGGGCATGACCAATCGTCTAAGATTCTTATCTTCCATAATAACTTGGTATATCAGCAAACATGTTCATATAATTTTAGATTCTTTCATGTAGATCATTTACATAGATAATAAGCATTGCTAGTGCTAAAACTGAACCCTGTGGTGCTTGCGGGGATTGAGCTTCGGCTCTTTGGTCCTGCCTCTCAACTGTCAATCAACTGGTGTACAGATTCCTGAGCCTACTGGGCTCTATCATATCTACATTTGAAACTGTGTATGGAGTCTGCCTCCACCACATCACTGCCTAATGCATTCCATCTGCTAACTACTCTGACACTGAAAAAAAAAATTCTAACGTTCCTGTGGCTTATTTTGGTACTCAGTTTCCACCTGTGTCCCCTTGTTCGAGTACCCCCTGTGTTAATAAATTTATCTTTGTCTACTCTATCGATTCCTCTTATAATTTTGTAGGTAGTAATCATGTCTCCCCGAGCTCTCCTGTCTTCAAGCGACGTTAGGTGCATTTTATGCAGCCTTTCCTTGTAACTCATGCCTCTTATTTCTGGGACGAGCCTAGTGCATACCTCTGAACTTTTTCCAGCTTAGTCCTGTGCTTGACAAGGTACGGGCTCCATTATGGGGCCGCATACTCCAGAATTGGTGTGTGTGTGTGTAATTACCTAAGTGTAGTTACAGGATGAGAGAGAGCTACGCTCGTGGTGTCCCGTCTTCCCAGCACTCTTTGTCATATAACGCTTTTAAACTACTGACGGTCTTGGCCTCCACCACCTTCTCACCTAACTTGTTCCAACCGTCTACCACTCTGTTTGTGGAAGTGAATTTTCTTATATTTCTTCGGCATCTGTGTTTAGCTAGTTTAAATCTATGACCTCTTGTTCTTAAAGTTCCAGGTCTCAGGAAATCTTTCCTATCGATTTTATCAATTCCTGTTACTATTTTGTATGTAGTGATCATATCACCTCTTTTTCTTGGTGTGTGTGTGTGTGTGTGTGTGCGTGTGTGTGCGTGTGTGTGTGTGTGTGTGTGTGTGTGTGTGTGTGTGTGTGTGTGTGTGTGTGTGTGTGTGTGTGTGTGTGTGTGTGTGTGTGAGATACAAAAAAATGACACCGGGCACATATGAGTAAACAATAGACTGTATGAATATACGGTAGTGTGAAGTAGTAAGAAGTTACACATCGTATTTAGATATGCTCGACGTATGGTTTAATAAAACAATACGGTGGAGATGTGCTGGGGTGACTGCGCGGGCGCGCTTACATGTGGGTGTTTGGCGTGCGGACCCTCAGGTTGCGTGAGTCTGGTGTGC